CTCCTGATGATTCTTTGTACACCTCGCCACGCTAAAATCCCCTTTAAAGACAGTTGCAAATTTATAGATTATTTATTAGACAAGTTAACTCAGTAAAAAAAACGAATTCAAAAACCAGACGCCATTTTTTGTAAAAACTTTTCAAAGAGTGGCCTAAAATATACGTCATATTAGGCCTGGTTTTTCAAAATTTTGCCGGAGAAGTAGATAATTTTGGCAAAATTGGCTTTTTGCAGTAGTTTGGTAGAGCTCGAAAAATCAGATTGGTCAGGGCAGTCGACCTGAAAAGTTGCGACAAATGATGATCCTCTTCCAGAAACACCTAGATCCACTCATGGATGACCACGTGACTTTTTCCACCACTACATGCCATATTTCTTAGGGATACTTAACCACAGGGTAAAACAATACACACATTGTGCGCCCCACACATTCAGACATCGTAAATTTAACGGCCAATTTAAAAACCCATTTCAAAAATTTTATCCCCTTCCTGAAGTCTAACTTTTTGAAGTTATATGTTTTTATGATATAACTAGTCAGTTATACTGGAGAAGACTCCAATCAACTACTTTGTAGTCTATTCACACCTGATCCTTTAGTTTTCTTTCATGGTGGTACTAATAGGCAGATTCCGATTTAATTCTAGATCAAAAAGAAACTGTCGGTCTCGACTGACTTCGAAGTATCAGGCAATTATTAAGGCAGAAAATGCTCACTTAAAGACTATTTTATCTTTTTAATAATTGTGTGAAAATGGCATGTGCAACTGTCTCTATTTGTATGTAGTCCTAAAGTTCTGCCAACACTTCCAGATTTTGAAATTATGTATTTTTATTAATGAGAACGACAAAAAAGCAACTAAGGCTTGTTTTGAGAGCCTCGATACTTCTCTCGATTTCGAAATAGCCCTGTGCAAGTTTCAAATTGTTCTTGAGCAGTATGTTTTTGAAGGCTTTGAAATCAATAAATCTTTTTTTTTTAATGCCAAATAGTTAATTTAAAATATTTTATTTCAAGTCTATTTAATTTGAGACTACGAGTTGACGCTGAAACCCAGATATACCAGATAAAAGAGACCGTGCTTACGTTGTTTTTGACAAAAACAATCAAAATTTTTTTTTTCGAATGAATTTTTTCGAAACAAGAAGAAGAATGCTCGTAACAGGGCGAAGCCCTGAATGTTCCGACTGCCTTTTAACTTTTATGGAGCAGTAATAACTTTAAACAATTAAACTCATAATAAAATAAAATGAAATTTTTTTTCTTCAAAATTTGAAATTTCTTATGAAAATCATCCCCCCCACACGCCATCTAAAGATCAAAAGGATAGTTTTCGCTCCTTGTAACAAATCAATTATGGCAAATAACTCTTTCAACCAATTTGGAACGATTTCTAAGACGGATTAAATCTCCGCTTACGCGTTAATAGCGCGAAATATATCGCGCGTTAATTGTCCCAAATTGGCCAAAATGGCAATCTTTAAACACCCATAACTTTACGAAAAATGATCACAGGTGAAACATCTTTTCAATTTCAAGCTTAGGTCAGCAATGCCTTTTGAATTATACAAAAAAATTTCCGTCAAAAATGGCTAGTTAAAAAGTCGAAATTTGTCTGAAGAAAAAAAAACCCACATCGAGCACAAATATTCCGTTACTTCCGTATCGAAAGTCGGAACAAAACACAAATTGCTTGCCTCAGTTCAATTTGGATTGATTTTTGTTGCTGCTCACGTTTTGAGAACAGAAAGATTATCGCGGGTCAATTATTCGAAAGTGGCAATTTTCAAACGGTCAAAAATATAAGAAACGTGGTAGCAGGCAAAATATTGTTGTTCCGACTTATCCAATTTAGAATGAAATCGACAATGTGCAGTGGTTGATTCGGAAATCTGATGCCAAGTTAGTGAACTTGCACTAGCTTAAGCTCGGTTGGAGTTCCGAGTTCCCCAATTATTAACTATGTGCAGCTGAGTATTCCGCACACATATTCATGAACAAGACTGCTCGTATCAGGGCAAAGCCCTGAATGTTCCGACAGCCTTTTAAGGATTATGGAGCAGTTATAACATTTAAAAATTCAATGAAATAAAAACAAAATCAAAAAAATTTTTTTTAAATTTGAAATTTTTTGTGAAAATTATCCCCCCACACGCCATACAAAGTACAAAAGGATAGATTTCGCTCCTTGTAACAAACCAATTATGGCACATAAGCTTCTTTTAACCAATTTGGAACGATTACTAAGACGGATTAACTCTCCGCTTACGCGTTAATAGCGCGAAATATATCGCGCGTTAATTGTCCCAAATTGACCAAAATGGCAATCTTTTAACCCCCGTAACTTTACGAAAAATGATCACAGGTGAAATATCTTTTCAAACTTAAGCTTAGGACAACAATAGCTTTTGAATGATATAAAAAATTCCGTCAAAAATGGCTAGTTAAAAAGTCGAAATTTGTCTGAAGAAAAAAAAAACCCACCCCGAGCACAAATATTCCGTTACTTTCGTATCGAAAGTCGGAACAAAAAGAATTGAGGTGAACTAATTAGTCATGAAAGTGCTTTGCAACGTTTAGCACTTAAAATATTATATGTGGCCTCAGGGGCGGATTTAGAGGGGGGCGGGGGGTGTACGCCCCCCCTCCCCCCAGTGATTCGACACCCTGCCGACCCAAAGGGTCCCCCCTTTGTACTATTTTGAGATCTCCATTTTTGGAGACGGACCTTAAAACTTTTATAAAGGCGCCTTTGGCGCCAATATATACTAATTTTGAGGGGGTAGCGCGCCAAAAAAAAATGCAATTTTTTGGTAAAAACTTTCCAAAAAGTCCCTAAAAACCCCTTTTTTGGCCTGTTTTTTCAAAATTTTGCCTGCGGCGCAGAAATTTTGGCCAAAACAGAGTCTTTGTAATGATTTGGGAGAGCTCAGAAAATCAATTTGGTCAACCTAAAAAAAAAGTCGACCGAAAATTTCGATTTTGTTTTGAAAATCCGCCCCCCCTCGTGAAAATCCTAGATCCGCCCCTGTGTGGCCTACAAAAATTATAGTTTATCATATCTTATTCGAGATCAATTAAGGCACAATTGGATGATTCGGGGCTTTGCCCTGGTACATGAGGTGTTTTATTTTACTCTGACTGCATCACATCAAAAGCTTTCAAGTGAATGTTGTCAAAGCAGCTAGTTTAAAAGTCGAGATTGGTCTGTTCCCAGCACGAATAGTCCTTTTTTTCAAAAGTCTGAACAAAAAAACTGTCCGTATCAGGGCGAAAACATCAATACTCTAATTGACGTCCAAAATAAAAGAGAAAATTTTGATTCATTATTTGGTAAACATATCGAAAAAAAAATTTCTCAGTTCAGTTTGGAAGGGTTTAATTTGCCGCTTACACTTAAATAGCATGGAAAATATCGCGCACTATTGATATCAAAATTGTTTTCAAACCCCCTTAACCTTGGGAAAAAGCATTTTAGTCAAATTTGTGTTTAACTTTGAGATCAGCACAAAAATAGTTATCAGATGTTAAATCAAAAGCTCTCAAAAAGGGCTACTTGAAAAATCGGAAAAAAAGTCAGGAGAAAAAAAAGTACTCCGTCGTTTTCTCCCACATTAGTTTTTTAGCTTAGAACTTGCGCCACGACTGAACAGGTTAGGAACAGAGATTGTTTATCAAAAATTTGTTCAAAGGATTTCAAAACTGTGTAATTTTTGAAGTAGTTTACGGTGTTGCCAATTTACGAGTTACGAGTTAAAATAAACGTTGCGAGTTACGTTTCTCCTTAAAAAACCAAAGAGGTAAGAACAAAAAGAAAAATTCAGAGAATTTGCTCAATCAATGAATTACACATATACAAACTGCTGAAATTACTCTCTAGGGTAATAAGACGAAAATATGAAAAAATGACAAAGTGAACAACTTTGTTTCAAAACAAGAATTAAACTAATCACTCGATACTCCTAGAAGAATAAAATCACTAAAAACAAAAAAAAATTAACACGAAATAACAAAAAATTAGTATCTGTGCGAATACTGACATTATATAATGCCCGAACTAATATCAAAATGAATATCAGTAAATAATTTTACTTGAACCTAAACAGACTATAGACAGTCTTGTGCATAGATTCATAGGTATTTATGTAATTGATTGCGACTACTTCAACAAACTGATTTATGGCAACTATTGAGTTATCTAAAATGGGCCGAGGTGGCCTAATGGTTTTCTCCCATACAATTAAGATTTATTTTTGTAATTTAACTCGGTAACTAGATATTGTGTGGAAGCAATAATTAATTGTTAAACAAAATTGACACAAAAAAGATGTCAAAGTAAAAAAAAATAGGCGCGAAGCAGCAGTCAACTTCTTTCGACTGGCCGATCAAAATAACGTCAAAATTTTTTTAGAGGTTGATATTATCACAAAGCAAAAGCTTAGGGACTATAAATAGTTTAACTCCCCTGCAGTGATCATAAATGAAGAAGCATTCAATCCGTATTTTGGTAAACGAAACTAAAAAGCAAACAAAACGAATCACGCAAATAAATAACAATTAGCCAGACAGCTAGCGTTTTTGAGTTTTATCTCAAGTCGCCAAACTTTTGATAGCGAAGACCTATAAAGGATTTTGACCAGCCGAAGTTTTGCAATACTAGCTACGAAACATCTTTAAAAACGTATTGTTTATTGCTGTTATGCCTTTAGTGAAAACTACCAAAAACAAAACAAGGTTACTGCACAAAACACGTTAGTGCACAAGGGCGGTCAAAGAACTCAGTTCATCTTGCTGTTTGTTTTCTAGGATTTTGATTCTAGAGGAAAAAAAAACAAAATTTATACTAGGCTTTAAACTAGTCCCCGGGTGTGTCCAGCAAGATAAAATATCTTAGTTTCAAGTTCAAGTTCTTGATCTATAAAAGTGAGTAAAATCAGCATAATAAAACAGTAATTATAACAAGACAGATTAAAATAACAAACGATAAAGTAGGTAACAGTGATTTCTTCTATCAATATCGATTATCGTTAAAATCAAACACTGTTCTAAAATTGCAGTAATGGTTTGAGTAAAAACGAAATAAATTTTTCCTTGTGAAAACATTTTCCCTTAAACAAAACGATTCAAATGAATGAAGTCCAGGACAGTAATTGCCTCAAGTGAGTGTCTTGTTGTTATCGGACTCATCAAACTCTTTTTTTTTCATGTGTACCCGCAATTGCCCGAGCTATCCTAATAAGTAGCTCACGGCAATCACACAACCAAAATAAAAATTCAAAAAAAATGT